TTTTAATTCATTTTATTTCATTTTATTTCATTTTATTTCATTTTATTTCATTTTATTTCACTTTATTTCATTTTATTTCATTTTATTTCATTTTATTTCATTTTATTTCATTTTATTTCATTTTATTTCATTTTAATTCATTTTATTTCATTTTAATTCATTTTATTTCATTTTATTTCATTTTATTTCATTTTAATTCATTTTAATTCATTTTAATTCATTTTAATTCATTTTAATTCATTTTAATTCATTTTAATTCATTTTATTTCATTTTAATTCATTCTATTTCATTTTATTTCATTTTATTTCATTTTATTTCATTTTATTTCATTTTATTTCATTTTATTTCATTTTAATTCATTTTAATTCATTTTATTTCATTTTATTTCATTTTATTTCATTTTATTTCATTTTATTTCATTTTATTTCCTTTTATTTCATTTTATTTCATTTTATTTCATTTTAATTCATTTTATTTCATTTTATTTCATTTTATTTCATTTTAATTCATTTTAATTCATTTTAATTCATTTTATTTCATTTTAATTCATTTTATTTCATTTTAATTCATTTTAATTCATTTTAATTCATTTTATTTCATTTTATTTCATTTTATTTCATTTTATTTCATTTTATTTCATTTTATTTCATTTTTGAATTTTATTTTTGATTTATTTTTCAATTTAATTCCTTTTTTTGGAACTTCCCGCAGAGTTCGCCGCGCACATGGACGAAGAGGCCACGGGCCCCAAAGAGGAAGTGAAAAGATTGATTTCGAACTTCAAAGAGGCCATGGAAGAAGAGGAGGAAGAGGAGGAAGAAGAAGAATAAATAAATAAATAAATAAATAAATAAATAAATAAATAAATAAATAAATAAATAAATAAAAGTAAATTAAAGTGAAAAAAGGAAAAAGGCAAATGGTTTTGTCGACGGGAACGAAGCATGCAGAACGTGCAACTAAATTCAATTTTTTCTGCATTTGCAGAAATAAAAAATAAAAGAAATAAAAGAAATAAAAAGAAATAAAAAGAAATAAAAGAAATAAAAAGAAATAAAAAGAAATAAAAGAAATAAAAAGAAATAAAACTTTATTTGTTTGTCATTTCTTTTCTTTTCTTTTCAATTTCAACAAAATGGAATTTTAGTTTCAAAAAGTCTTTTTCTTTGCAGCTCTTTTGACTCTTTTGCTGCTTCTTTTGCCCGGAAGATTTCATTATTTATAATTAAATAAAAAAGAAAATTAATTGTTATTATTAAATTCCCAGAAGATCTCATTATTTATAATTAAATAAAAAAGAAAATTAATTGTTATTATTAAATTCCCAGAAGATTTCATTATTTATAAATAAACAAAGTTAATTACTATTATTAAATGCCCAGAAGATCTCATTATTTATAAATAAAAAAAGAAAAATTATTATTAATAAATGCCCAGAAGATCTCATTATTTATAAATAGAAAAAAGAAAAGATAATTGTTACTAATAAATGCCCAGAAGATCTCATATTTATAATTAAATAAAAAAGAAAAGTTAATTTTAATTAATAAACGAAGAGAACAGAAAGCATTAGGCAAAATGCGGGAAGGGCAAAGGAGCTGTTCAAAAACAATAAAACTCAAAAAGTCATTTATTTAAATTAAAAACATTTATTCAAAAAGTCATTTATTTAAATTAAAAACATTTATTCAAAAAGTCATTTATTTAAATTAAAAGCATTTATTCAAAAGTCATTTATTTAAATTAAAAACATTTATTCAAAAAGTCATTTATTTAAATTAAAAACATTTTTTCAAAAACTCTCCAACTTCTTTTAATTTAATTTATCTTGCATTTTAAAAGTTTAAATCCATTTAATTCAAACAAATTAATTGCAACTAAAGGCCCAAGCTGAGCGAAACTAGAAATAAGAAAAGAATTATTTCATTTTAAATATTCATTTTAATTATTTCATTTTAAATATTCATTTGAAAAGAATTATTTCATTTTAAATATTCATTTTAAAAGAATTATTTCATTTCAAATATTCATTTTAAAAGCTAAAGGACACAAATATATTTCTTCCAACTCCCGTAACTCCAGAACTCTCTTAAAGGCCTTTCTTCAGGGCCCCCGGGGCCCCCTGGGGGGCCCCCAGGGGCCCCTGAGGGCCCCCGGGGCCCCCTGGGGGGCCCCTGAGGGCCCCCGGGGCCCCATGGGGGGCCCCCAGGGGCCCCTGAGAACCGGTGGGGCCCCCTGCGGGGTCCCCAGGGGCCCCTGAGGGCCCCCGGGGCCCCCTGGGGGGCCCCCAGGGGCCCCTGAGGGCTCCAGGAGACCCCTGGGGGGCCCCCAGGGGCTCCTGAGGGCCCCCTGGGCGTTAGTCTCAGGGGCCCCTGGAGTATCGGGGGTACCCCAGGGCTTGAGGGGCCCTTTAGGGTATTGTGGGGCCCCCAGGGTGTTTGTTCAGGGGGCTCCAGGGGGCCCCAGGGGCCCCCTTTGGGGCCTCTGGGGGCCCCCAACAGGTTTCTGGGGGAACCCAAGGGGCCCCCAAGGGGCCCCTAAAGGGGCCCCAGAGGGCCCCCAAGGGGTCCTGATGGGCCTGTGAGGGCCCCCGGGGGGCCCTGGGGGCCCCTGGGGGGCCCCCTTGAATGGTCTTTGGGGAGTGTGCGAAGGACCCTCAAGGACTTTGAAGGCTTTTGGGGGCCCCCTAGAGCTTTGAGGGCCCTTGGGGGCCCCCGGGGGCCCCTGGGGGCCCTTTAGTACCCTTTTGGGGTCATTTGAGTCGCTGGGAGTTTCAATTTGGTGCTGAGGCCCCCCAGGGGCCCCCTGGTGCCCTTTGGGGGCCCCCAAGGGGGCCCCCAAGGGGGCCCCCAAGGGGGCCCCCCAGGGGGCCCCCCAGGGGGCCCTTGAGGCCCCCATGGATTTCTTTGTTTCTTTTTATTATTTATTTTTTTGGGCCAAGTGGAATCTAAAAATAAAAACAAAAATACTATTTAAAACTTAAAAAGAAGACAAAGACAGTTCTAGATAGACCCGCATCTAGGGTTTAGGGTTTAGGGTTTAGTGTTTAGGGTTTAGGTCTAGGGTTTGCTGATTGATGAAACGCTGAGCAGATGCAGCACGGCACCAAACCCTAAACCCTACACCCTAAGCCCTAAACCCTAAGTCCTAAACCACAAGTCCTAAGTCCTAAACGCTAAGTCCTAAACCCTAAACCCTAAACCCTAAACCCTAGAAGAAAGCAAACCCTCCCCATGAGTCGCCAAATGGACTTTAATTCAGCAAAAGTCCAAAAATCAAAAAGGCGAAAAAAACCCAACCCCCCTTAATAATAATAATAATAATAATAATAATAATTGCAATACTATTTCATTATTATTATTATTATTATTATTATTATTATTATTATTACTTTAAATATTATTTTAAATTATAAATAATTAAATAAATTAATTCCAAAAAGAAAACTAGCAGCTGATGAACTGGCCACCAGCAGCTCGCCCGCTGCGCCCCGCCAAACCCTAAACCCTAAACCCTAAACCCTAAACCCTAAACCCTAAACCCTGAGCGCCCTTAGCCGCGCCTGAGTCTGGCGCCCTTGCGGCGTGGGGGCTGAGGAGAAGCCGAAGGGCTTAGGGTTTAGGGTTTAGGGTTTAGGGTTTAGGGTTTAGGGTTTAGGGATGCGTTGGCTTGTTTGGAATCTGTTTTGTTTTTCTCAGCCTTTTCCCTCAATTGCCTGCAGCAAAAAAGAACAAAAAAATTAAAAGTATAAAATGAAATGAATATTTCCTTCTAAATCAGTGAATTAGCCGCCAGGCACCTAAACCCTAATTTAGGGTTTAGGGTTTAGGGTTTAGGGTTTATTAGGGTTTTGTTTCTCGCTTTGCTCACTTCAGCACTTTGCGAATGTGCAGCAAATGGCGGCACTGGGACTGGGCCACTGCGAACTGCAGCAAAAGAAAAAAACATTTATTTGAAAATTCAAAAATTAGAAATTAAATATTTATTTTATTTTCACTTTTGATTTTATTGCAATTGATTTATTAGTCAATTAGTTGATTTGGAAATTAACTAATTAATTAATTAATCGACCAAAAAATCAGTTGATTTACAAATACCTAAATAAAATAAATAAATAAATAAATAAATACATAAATAAATAAATAAATAAATAAAATATTAATAAATAGATAAATAAATAAGTAAATAAATAATAAATAAATAAATAATTAAATAATTAAATAATTAAGTAAATAAATAATACCTGCCAGTAAGACTTCCCAGAAGTGAACATGGGCTGCACAGGGCCCATTCCTTCTGCTGCAGTTAGGGGCTCAGCAGAAGTGGGCATAGCAGCAGCAGCAGCAGCAGCAGGAGCAGCAGCAGCAGCAGCAGGATCTTTTGCTGCTGCTGCTGCTACTGCTGCTGCCATATACATCTTTTGGGTTCTTTCTAAAGAGGCGCGGCGCTGCCTGAAGACCTCCTCGGCCTGCAGCAACTCTTAAACCCGAAACCGCAAACCCTAAACCCTAAACCCTAAACCCTAAACCCTAAACCCTAAACCCTAAACCCTAAACCCTCAGTTTTTTTTTCAGAAAACTGCAGCACTGGGATATTTTCGTGGAAATTGATTCTTTTTTTCTGACGAATAATTCTAAATGATCGAAAATTAAAAATTAAAAACAAAAATTGCGGAAAATTGCAAATTACTTTTTTAAATGCTTCTCTTTTGCTCATTCCTTCGTTCATGAACCGCAGCTGCTGCGCCACGAACTGCATGGCGGGGTGATCCGCGCGAAAAGTGTCCGATCCTGCATTAAAAACAAAAAAAGAATTTATTTATTTAAAATTAAATTAAAATTAACAAAAAGAAACTTCTCCCGCCAAACTTATCGGGTGAACTCCCCGGTGGCTTTTCACTGCATTTCAGGTGTACGTACACCTCCGATTTCGCCGCCGTGCAAATTCTGAATTGCAAAAAAGGCGCCAGGAAGGCTTAAATAAAAGAATAAAGTGGATTTTAATTACAATTATGAAAATAATTCACAATTTTTGATTTATTTTGCGTTTAAATGAACCAAATTGACCTTTTGTTGGCTCATTTCCAGCCACGAAGCAGTCTTGAAAACGCACATCCGGGTACTTGGCGAGCAGCTCCCGAGTCAAGCCGATGTACTTATTTCTGCAGCAGCAAAGAAGAATTAAAAGGGACTTTTAAATGCTTTTAAATTCATTTTAATTAACTTTTAAATTAACTTTTAAATTAACTTTTAAATTAGCTTTTAAATCAACTTTTGAACACTTTTAATGCTTTTAAATTCATTTAAATTGACTTTTAATTCCATTTTTGAACACTTTAAATGCTTTAAATTCATTTAAATTGACTTTTAATTCCATTTTTGAACACTTTAAATGCTTTAAATTCATTTAAATTGACTTTTAATTCAACTTTTGAACACTTTAAATGCTTTTAAATGACTTCTTTTCAAAGCTTTTTATAACTTTTAAAGACTTTTGAATTTTCAAATTTTTATTTACTTCGCCACTTCGCTGAAAAGAAAACGCTTTAAAAGTCATTCATTAAAACCCTTTTGGCAAAAATTAAATTAAATTAAATTAAATTAAATTAAATTAAATTAAATTAAATTAATTCTAAACGAACTGAACAGCTTATTCAACACTGGCGCAGCAGCAGCAAACTACCGCAGCACTGCAGCAGCAAACTCCCGCAGCAAAGCCGCAAAACAGCTTGCTGCTGCTGCACTGCAGCAGCACCTCACTGCAGCAGCTGCTGCTGCTTTCTGCTCCTGCTACTTGCTGCTACTGCTGCTCCTGCTGCTACTGCTGCTCC